AAAAAAAAAAAAAAAGAAAAAAAAAACAAAAAATAATAAGATTAAAGTAAAACTCGAATCCGAAATCGAAAACCTTGAAGTTGTTCGAGAAACTCAGTGGTACCGTTCGCAGCATGGAAGACAGACAAATTACGTAAAACTAGAAGTTGCGATATAGCGCGCATGAAATTTTGCGTAATAATGCAGAGAACGCTATGCACCCATCGGCAACGTGTTTCGTGGAATAAATTAAAATGACAGCTTTGCCTACGAGTCGCGTTCGTGGCAAACTACCCGACGAGTAATCCCTCTTAACCTAGACCAATTTTACTCCCGTACATCACAAAGAGAGAGAGAGAGAGAAACGTGACGTTTAACGGTTCTCGAATTGTAAAGGTGGCCAACAAGAACGATGGACAATCGTCGAAAAGTGTCGACCCACGCGGCTGCTGCTGCCGCTGCTTCTGGAAACAACTGGACCACGTACCCGAATTCCTCGCGACACGTTCACGCGAACGGTTTTCGAGAGGAGTGCGCCAACGAGCGCCGCGAAGTCAGACTTCCAGGAGGGAGATCTTCCGAGGAAAGTGTCGTCGAGATTGATGAAACGGACGTTAATAAGAATAACGTACGATTGAACAGCGTTTATTTTAGCATTGTGCTTGTGTGCAAGGTGTACGATGACGTAGAAACGTGATGTACATCGTAAGTGTCTAAAAATGAAATTTTTGGAAATGTACAGGCAAGTGGTATTCCCTTTTGTTTGTAAACGGCGTTTCAAACCGCTGCGCATTAATGTTCCCTAGAAATTAAACGTAAAATTAACCTTCTACGAATCTATTCTATCTACCTGCGACGGAACGTGGAAAGATTCTGTTAGATCGTGCGATGTGGAGTGTTACGTGTACAGGGTGTTCGGCGTGACTGTCGCCACGATTTTTCAGTCACTTCCGGTAGCGTGAGAAAGAGAATGCTTGAAATAAAAAATCATCGGTGCTCGATCGTCGATAGATTGTAAAACTAAAAATTGGGAAGATGCTATTTTTTTCTGGAAAAAATTGGAAAGATACTATTTCTTCCCCAAAAAATCGGGGTCATATTCGTTTTTTTAAATTACACTGTATAAATTTTTCTACGAAGTATTGTAGGTGACATTGAGAGGAAGTCAGTGACAATATCGGTACATTCCTTCAACAATTATCAGATGTGCCCGAAAAATTGTGACGACCGTTACGTTGAACACCCTGTAGACACTGCCGTTCGTAAGTATTGCGACACTTGTTATGTTCGTATAGAAAGTGTTGTATCGTCTAAGGGGGTGCACCACCCTGAGACGTTTAAAAATAGGTGAAGTTTGGGAATTTTTTTCCTAGGTAACTACTAAACGAAAAGTTTCAATTTTTTCAGAGAAGAACCACATAACGGAAGTGTACATCGCCAGTAATTTAGAATTTTTAGTAATTAGTAATTTCAATTTTAATTTAGACAGTGATTTATGATTTTTAATAATTAGTAATTAGTAATTTTAATTTTAATTTAGACAGTAATTTAGTAATTTTCAGAATTTTTCAACGCTCGAGTAATTATTTCATATTAAACTACTCGATAGCAATTAGCCTACGTCGAATTATGGTTTCGTTAAATTGAATATCTCTCGTCTCTTAGATTCGCAGTTATCCAGATGAGTCGGTCTACGTAAAAGTCGTCCCGAAGCACAATAACGCAGCTCTTCGCGAGAAGTATCAACGATTCAACGGTCATCCGAGCTACAACGTTCCAGAGGCAGTAACGGCGATGCGAAGATTGGAAAAACTGAAAGAGCTGCAAATGAAACGGGACATGACCGAAAGATACTACACTCAAGAGATCAAACGATTGATCGGTGAATATTATTTCGGCCCGAAAGTTGCTTCGCCCTCGTTCAGGCCCAATGGAAGACTGCAAACTTCCAGTTTCCAACCGGAGGATCGAGTAAAAAAGGTAGCCAGAGTGTTGGAGAATAAAGCATTTTTTTCATATGGAATATTTATTCGATCAGAATTCATATCGATAATTCTGTCGATGTTTATAAGTGAAAAATCTAAGAAAATTCTATTTATCGCTAATTTTGTGCAATTATTCTTGCAAAATAGTTGAAAATTGAACCGTTGAACGGAGTTGATAGTGAAAATATCAAAAAGGGTAATAAGAAGTGTAAAAATCTAAAAGACGAAAGTGGTCCAATTCAAAAATCTAAAAAAATTCAATTTATCGCTAATTTTGTGCAACCATTCTCGCAAAATAGTTCGAAATTGAATCGGATTGAGTAGAGTTGATAAACAAAATATTGAAAAATCTAAAAATCTCGAAATATGAAATATACGACCTAGACCACCATACTGGTTCCACCGACTATACATTACCCTTCGAACAGCGAATGCCGGGTCACCAGTGACCCAATCTTTAAATGTCCAAAACAAAATTACAACTCTCCTCTCCTTACATCATAAATATATTTCTCACTTTATTCATAACATATTTACACAATTTCAAACAGTACCCAGTAAAATAAAATAAAATAAAAAAAAAAGAAAGTAGTTTCGCTTGCGTACGAAGAAAATGTTAGCCTCGGGTCATATTTGACCCGGCATCCGCCATGCGTGCGACTATCACACCGTCCGCTCTCCAAGGGTTAAAATATTAACGCGAATCAACGTTAACTCGACAAGAATCTAGAACCGTGCGGCACAATGACGACAATCACACGTCTGGATTGTGGGTGTATTCAAGAGACGACGAGGCCAATTTTCACGACGGCAAAGGGCCGCGTTCAAAGGAGGAATTGCAGCCAATCTCAGGACGAGATTTTTCTGAAGTTGGCTTCGACGATTCCCCAGGAACACTTGCTTTCGTCGTTAGAGCAGCGCAAGGATAAGTACCGCGCGAAGATGAAGAAACGGCTCTCCTTGGATCCGCGGATGTGCCCGAAAATCCCGCCCGCCGGTGATCAAGGGTTCGAGACGGAGAACGAGAAGAGAAACGACACGGAGGAACGGGAAATTTCCGAGCCTATCTCGAGACCAACCTCTCCCTGTCGAAAATTCAGCGATACCTCGGCAACTTCCGTTTAAAACAGAGAAATCTATTCTTTTTACCTAAAGTTACTTGTATTTGTGTGCAATTCACGAAAATATAAATTGTCCCCGATCATGTGCTTTCATTATCCACGTAAATTGTGTAATATCTTGGCCTCCATGCCCAAATACGGAACCGACGAGGGAAAATGCAGAGGGAGCTGTTGGCGTAGTGAGCAAACCCTCGGCTTGCCAAGCCGAAGGTCCCGGGTTCGATTCCCGTTGGGTCCCTCGGTATTTTTCCGTCGTTGGATCCGAAGTACATTAATATAGTATTACCATGAAAAGTTGTTCGAGGCTTTATTATAAACTTCAGAGCCGTTTTGACCGAAATACTCTTACTTCTTTCTCTTCCTCTAAAATCTGCAGATTTTAATGCCAAATTTTCCCTCGGTTCCTATTGTTACGTTTCGCAATAGGCTGGTCGCGAAATGTTAACCCTCCCGACCCAACGGCGGTTGCAGTACTTCGCTTCCTACGGACGACGTGAAATTTAATAGTCCGTTCACGACGGCCAACTTGAAATTCAGCCCTAAACATATCGAATTGTTTATAAAGTATTTGAGACTTTGACAATATTGTGATTTTAATATACCACACTGAATAATTAAGAAAGGAAAGCGGTGACACATTCTCAGAGTCGGTACGCGGTACCGAAGTCGGCCGCATACGACGGCTGGTGAGTCGGTACGCGGTACCGATGTCGGGTCGGAAGGGTTAATTGTCCCTCTTTTTGAGTCAGATCATCTAAGGAATCTACTCGGGATAGGGGACTCAGGTAGTGCACGGTAGATTGATAGTTAACGCACAACTTGCTATTAACCCTTTGCACTCCAATGGTGCTGTTATGGCGACATGGAGAACTTTAATATGTAAAATTCCGGTATTTTTACATTATGAAAATAATGCAAATTAAAATAAGAAATAGAAATAAGTAAATTTATAAGCGTTGATTAAAAATCCTTTCGTTTCTATTTTTCAAAACAAAACTTCGGATTTTTAGAAGTTTCGCTATTAATCTTATCGAGAAGTGCTTGGAGCGCAAAGGGTTAAACTGTGTATTTGAAAACGTGTACAGAGCGCGAAATGTCTGAGCTTGTAGGAAAATTGTATATCGTGTCGTGTGGTGTTCGCTATTTTATAAACTACGTGCGTGTTGTGATTGGTGGTGTGAAGCTGCCGTAGGTGGTGATTGGTTTTTTCGGTGTGTTTGGGGTGTGTCTGGTGGTGGTGCGAAAGTGGGGAATTTGTTCTTACATTTGTTATATTGCTCGGTGATGTCGAAGGTCTGTTTTATTATCTTAGGGCACGTGGTGTTCAGGTGTGAGAGCCTTGGAATTTTTGGGTGTAGTAAAGTAATTTTCGTGCCGGCTAAGACCTCGCTTTTTAGAACGTGCTGGTCTATCGGGAATACCGATGTATTGTTCGGCTCGTCGGTACGGCCGAACAACCCAAGCGACGTCTGTTACGCGTGTAACACTATATATGATTATTATTATACATACTATGAACAGAGCGACGTTGGAACATTTCTGCGGCGTGAAATTATTCCAAGAGGAATTAAGAAACGTGTGAAGTTCTCAAGTTTCATCGTTGGAAAATGAACGAATTCGGATAAAAATCCGCCTACAGCGGATTTTACAGAAAATTTTCGGGATTCGGCGGAACAATTCGATGTAACTGGATTTTTCTCTAGCGATCGAAAATTGCAGAATGAACGATTTAAGGCTGACAACTGAATCTGTAGTAGCGCACATCGGTATCACGTTTTTAAATGCTGTACTACATTACGCGCTTTATAAAGCTGTCGTTGCCATGATCATGCTGATCAAAGAAACGATACTTTGGTTGTTTCGAAAGGTGATGAAATTTCGTAGTGCGACGAGCAACGACGAATCGACGCAGTCGCCTTTGTCATGTAACATTTAATCGTCGTTTCTCGGAAAGAAATTCCTGGTGAGAAAAGTTCCCTCGAAATCTATCGATTTAAATAATAATTTCGGATCGATGTAAAGTACACCATAATTCAAGGTTAAGTTAGGTTAGGTTAGGTTTGCATTACTCCTTAACGCTCCGTAGGCAAACGTAATGTAGTAGAGGCTTTAATAAGTACCCCAGAATTTTTTCAGACTTTTCGAAAGCTTAAAACTGTAAAAAAATTAGACTTGGACAGAAACAATCCGATTTGCCTACGGAGTGTGAAGAAACACAGTTACGGTCATTAATTTCGGGACACTTTTAGAACGGTACAACTTTTTTTTAAATTGAACCAAACGATTTGAGTTTTTTTTTTACAAGTTAGAAGGATTCAAAGAATGTTGAAAAAATTGTAATTTGTGGGAATCGCGGAGAAAATTGTAAGATCATTGTTTACACCTTTCTTTTATCTGAGCTTGCTGTGAAAAATTTAAAATATACGATTTGTAGATTTACGTCAATTATACAGGGTGTTCAAAAAAAAACACTCTGTATTGAGTAGAAAAGCCTTAGTAAACATAGGTCGAAATGTCAACCGTTTCTGAGATATAAACATTTTTGTTTGCTAGCATCATGGCCGACTTACTTGCGTCCATCGCTTGCTTCCCCCTCGATCCCCCGATTTAAACCCTTCGGACTTCTTAAAAGCCAAGTGTATTCCTCGCCGATAAATTTATTTATTTATTCATTCAAACGGGCAAAAAAAAAAAGAGCCCAATAGTACAATGAAATTATACAAAGTCGAATAGTGACAACGCGTAACGCAGTTAATTTCTATTTGTAAGTTTCTTTAAAGTTTGCCTGCAACTGTCCGCATACGTACAGATCCTTGTGATCGGATCATTGAACCCGATCATTGAATAAATGACTTAGAAGAATTACGTAACCGAATCCACCATGCTTGTCAAATAATTCAACAGAGATATGGAATTTTCGAGAGAGTTCGCGACTCAGTAAGAAGAAGATGCCAAGCGTGTTTACAAATGGAAGAAGGACACGTGGAAAATCTTCTGTAAATATCGAAAAGCCAGTAGTAAGTCAATCACGATGCTAGCAAACAAAAATGTTTATATCTCAGAAACGGTTGACCTTTCGACCTATGTTTACTAAGATTTTTTTACTCGGTACAGTGTGTTCTATATACCATATAAATATTGAATGGTTTTTTTGAACACCCAGTATACATGCTGAAAATATCATCCGTTCTAAAATCTTTCAATCAAATGTGCAACCTCCTTTCATTTCTTCCCATTTTTTCCCGTAAAAAAATTTTTCTCCCATCTTTGGAATCATTTAAATTACATATAAAAATTTCCTCGTACCTCCGTAGCTAGAATGTATGTATACCAACGAAAAGTTTCGAATCCCCTGCCAATTTGCATCAATATTGAATCTGCTACTAATTCTTTATAAATTTAAAATTAACGTGCAGAGTAATAACAATTTATCTTATTTCGATTGATTTGAATAATAAAAAAAATTTTTAAATCCTCAATATTGCTAACCTTTTTTTTCCCGCAAATTTTTGTGTAACTTTCAACGCACAGTGAAGTATTGTGAAGAGAAAACGAATTTTATTTCGACAGAGTCCCATGTAAATTCAGATTGTTTCCCTCGAAAAAGTTCGTGGAGTTAAATTACCAAGTACACGATGGCCGCTGCGTTGGAAAATTTCGTCACGATCACTCATCGTGATTTTAATTGGCCGTACCCGGTACCTATTGCTACCAAACCGGCACAACCACCGATGAACACGGGAATTCGACTGTACACCCCAAGAATCCACCCTGAAGACTGTCCGTGCGACGAACATGGCCATCGAAGCAACAAAAATAGGTGAATCGAGAAATATTTGTACTTTTGTAATCGACGATATCATTCACAGAATGATAATAAAACTAATGTCAATTTTACCATTATAAGTAAGTACATACGTTGTATTATTGTACTACAATGTATTACGCAGTTTTACGCTGTTATTATAATTATTATTGTTTGTACCAGTGGTTCTCAAACTTTTTTGTCTGGCGGCACACTGAAATCATTAAACAAAATTCACGGCACCCATACTATTATTATTTTTTGCTTTTTACAGTTAGTAAAGATGTGAAGGATGAGACGTATTTGAAAAAAATAAAAGTTATTTAAAGTAAGTTAGTTTATTTTCAAACAACACAAAACATACAAAACAAAAGTTATTATAAAGTATAAATATTTGGCTTTTTACATATAAACAATTCAAAATTTCGCGCCACCCTTGTGGCGTACTTACGGCACCCAGTTATAGAACCACTGGGTTATACAATGAACGGAAGTTGTGGCACCAGAAATTAAGGGGGTACATATTCTGGTTTCGAATCCCATCTTTTGAGCAATTTTTAGGATTTTTTTTCAAAAGAACCGTTAAACTTTTTGCATTAAGATTTTGCACATACATTTATGGGTATTTAAAATGTGCAATATATTTTGTTGAAGTGAAAAGAATGAAAGTTACACGAGATATAGTTTGTTTTATAGTGTTTGTGCTTTACAAAAAGTGTGTTGACTGTTTAGATGATTTCGGGCCTCCTGCTGATCTAAAATAAAAAAACCAGGAAGAATCTTAATCGGTATAGATCTGGCTATGGTCTGAACGAAAATAAAATAAAAATATTGATTATTTACAAAATGGCAGCATTTCGAATTTAGATTATCGATTTTCTTCATATTTTGCCGTCTTTAGAGTGTTAAAAGAATAAGAAAAAAACGACAGATGTTAAAAATTTTGATTCGTGCGATAACAAGATGTGTGCTGAAGATTCTCTAGAAATTTCAAGTCAATTGATAAACCAGAACTTGAGATATCGTGTAAACTGTTTCCATCCGTTTCGTTACGGTACGACTGCATCCTTGGAACGTTTACATCTAAATTAATTTTACGAATTCGAACAAATCCTTTTGCACGCATGTTGCTAGAATACTTGTACTTTAAGGAAATGCGAAAAAAAAATTGATTTTTTGAAAGTTCAAAACCAGAATTAGCCCTTAAGACAAAATCATGGGACAAGATTCCAAAAATATGGAAGATATTTGTTTATTTGTTTTTTTTTTTTTTATTTCATATGAACATTAATTTTTCATAGTAAAAATAGAATTTCTCGAGATTTCTTTACGAATTTCCTATAGTGTTCCATATTAGGTACCATTTTTCCAACATGGCCGCGTTTGACTTTTTTCACATTTTTTACCACGACTTCGAGACACTTAAAAACTTCTGGCATAATCAACTATTAACATATGTACGAGTATCTGTTAATTTTGTCGTGTTTCAACGTGTTTCATTGAAAAACAAAAATAAGCTTTTAAAATCGGGTGTTCCATATTTGAGCGCATTTTTCCTAATAAAACTAATTACAAACACTTTGCATAAATACATTGTACAATTTGTAGAAAAAATTTGTGTTTCAATGCACACCTTGCAAGAAATTACAAATTTGTGATATTTTTTTTTTTCTCCATCGAAGGTACAAATACCTGGCGGAAAAGGAACGACAAGTTTTGGATCAATTGATAAGGGTAAATCGTGAGATGAGCAATCTGACGACGGCTATGCTAGACAGCAACTGCGAGCCAATGGACGAGACGATGAGGACTATTTATAAAACGGATTACGAGAAGAGAGGTATGAAACAGCATTGAAGGAACGAGAATTCGTCCAAATAACTCGCTCGAATGAATTCAGGATTGCCTATCAAAGAGTATAGACAGCTGAAGGCTGCGGTCGATTCGCCATACTGTTCGCCGTTTCCAACGGAAGTTACAGAAATAAAGGAGGGCTACAGGGATCCTACGAGATTTCGTTACACAGCGATCGAAAGGCCGCATATACAACCAGCCAAAACTGTTACTTTTCACGAAGGTATAGAACACTCTTTTTTTCAGAACCCCTTCGCGTAAATAAAATCGTTAAATATTGTAAGAGGAGAAAGTTACTGTTTTAAGAAATATTACATTTGAGAAATTGTCACGACAGCAGTGAGGAAAATTGCTGACTGGTAATATCAAATTGACACAATTGGAATACTAAAAAGTAACGTAGAATAAAGTGATGAGAATATAAAAGTATAAAAGTAACATGGAATAAAGTGACAAAGAGTAGAAACATTTATAGAATAACTTAGAAATTGTAAAATTTGGAGAGGAGCCTCTAAACGTGATACAGATCGTTGAAGAAAAATTATATGAATATTCTTGTATTAAAATTGTACATAAAAAGTTGAGGATGTAATATTATGGGAATGTGTAGTTCCAGAAAGTTTCTCCATGTGGGAGATGCCTTTCACCGGTCGCTCAGAATACATGGATAGTATCAGCAAGATGGGCCTAAGCAACATGAAAAATCGACAACAATATTTAGAACCATTACCATCGTCAAGAAGAAGATTCGGGGACTGTAGATTATAAATTTTCAACACCGTTAAGAATTTCTCTTTTCAATCAACGTGTTTTCACGGCGAGATTAATTATTGTATAAATATTTGATTGTAATAAACACAACCACCCCAAAGCTTTATGTATTTCTTTAAATATTTTTATGAAAAATGGTTGTACATTATCTGAATATTTTAAAGAAGCGCCAAAAAAAAAAAGAAACATACAATTAACAACTTTTATTTATTTTTGATAACCTATTAAGCGCAAGCCAGCCGAAAACGTGAGAAATTTTGTTTTTATACTGTAATATTCTATACTTCACGTTTTCTTCTCGTTTTAGTTTTTATACAATGTTAACAAATGTTCGATAACGATGAATTCTTGCAAAATATTTTCCACGGAATACAGTCGCCATTATAGGAAGAAAAAGATAAGCCCAGCAAAGATGTAATAAGGAATACATACTGTTAAAGTTATAAAGAAATTAAGGGTTTAATTCGAGACCATAAATTATACGTTTTTTTTTTTTTAGAATTCTTCAAAGAGATCTTTTTGCGGAACGTATAGAAAAAGGGGAAATCGATCCTCGTACAGCATCGATTCCTACTCAATTGGACGAAGCTGCTGAACAATTGCTGTACAAGCACATTCTTGATAACCTGCAATCTGTATGTCATGTTAGCTACAAAAATCCTTGTAAGTTGTAATACGTGGAAAAGGAAGAAATAGAAATAGAAATTTGTTTAAATACCTGTATTTAATGAAATATAGGGATCTCTCACGATGAAAAGCAGGATAAAAATGCAGATGCAGAGACCAAAGAAAAAGACTTACAGAACGAATTAATAGCGTATATTCAAGGCCTATACTTCAATCCTCATGAAGAAAAAATTCTTGCTCCTCCTGCAACGGTTAAAAGAAGTGAGCTATGGCTTGTTAAATTAAAGTTCATATTTTGTGTAGTAAGAATAAAGAGATTTCTTAATAATCCAAGAATCTCCAATAATTTCAAGTTTTCGGGAATTTCATTAATAAAGCGGTAAAATTACGTACTAACAAAAGAATTCAAAGTACCATTGATACAATGCCATTCATATTTTGAAAATTCGACGATACCGATTGTTTCGTTAAAAGTCGTGAATTCACTTCTCGTTAACATACATTTAAATGTATCTAGTGCTTGCCTATATAAGGCCGAAATTTCTACATGGAAATTTTTCGACATACCAAGACACTTTCGGACGCACAGGAGCCACAGTAATGTTACAAGAACGTGAAAAGAAAAGTGCAATTATCTCGAAGAATGTGGAAATGTTAGAAAATAATAAGAGTGCATTAAATGTTGATAAACCCGATTGTGCTAACCTAAGTTTTGAAAATTGAATAATTCAATACTTGTAGAACATCTCTTCGTTCATATACAGAGATTTTATAGATAATATCAATTTAAATTTAACGTCGTACAAAAAATTTTAACATATAGGAAAAATAAACCTTTTACAGTTTTCACTAGAGACACAATTATTTTAACTCGATCTTTTTATTGTGCAAATAATTTCAAGGACGTATCTATCTTTCAGTAATTAAAACGACGGCATAAATTATAGTTATCATTGATACGATGCACATATTAAGCACATATTACATAAATGAGTAAGAAACGTCAAACGTGAAATCTTACAGCTTGATTTCCTTAGAATATAAAATATAATATATGTATATGTAAAGATGTATATGTGACAGAAATACATAGGTGAAATGCACACAATTAACAGTGAACAAATTGCAAGTAAAATAAACCCGATTGCAAATAAACTTGTTAATATTGCAGAAAAATTGAAAAATTTTTTAAATTAACTTCGATGTTATCTTGATAGATGGCGCATCAATATTGTATAGACCACTTTGCTAGATTAAAATTTAAATCTAACATAAATACATAGTATATATGTACTTACTATATTCAAAGAGCTTTAAATAATATTATACTTTAGAGAAAATCATTATTTAACAAAACATTTCTGAACCTCGTTAATACAACAATATAAAATCAGTCTTATTCGTTACTTTCGAAAAACTCATTGTTAATTATCGATAGTCTATTTTTGGAATATCAAAACGATATTGTTATACACTTAAGATAGCTTTGAACTGTTGCAAACAGTAACTTTAGTTATCGAGTAACGCACTATGTAACTTTTAACCCACGGCTTTACTACTTACGGAACCGACAGGACCAAACTGTAGTTTTCTTTAGCTTTCTGTATAATACGGTATAACCAACTTGCATTCTACGTAGTAAATATAAAAATTTGAAAATGTCAGGACACATACCTCATTTGATTTTGGCTTTAACGGGTATAGTGCAATCTATATGGGCATTTGTAGTACTTTGTTGTCAACATAAAAATTTTGCAATTGGTTTTTGGTCCATCTTACTGGGTTAGCATTTCGATTAAGTAATAAACATTGTATTATGTCAAATATCTGATAATAATTTATAACTATGGATACATCTTGAAATTAACTGCAAATGTGTACATTTTTTCTAACATATAAGTACATGAGTATTTCAATGTATTAATAAAACACTATTTGCTTGTAGTTTCTTATAATATTAAAATCACCTGTTTTTATTGTATATTGTATTT